TTACTATTTAGATATTTAATTTAAATCTATTTAAAAAAAATAAACCAATGTGTGCAAACACATTAGTCACACTGCGATAATAATAATTTTCACTCTATTCTGACCTCTTATAGACATCTACATTCGCATCATTAGTAGTAAATCAAACGATATTTCGATTCGTATTCTTTAAAGATGTATTCGTTTACTCGGGCTTTGTTATCATCAACATATAGACTAGAACGTTTACCAGCTTTTTTCCGATTAGAAACTTTGATTTGAGCTTCATCAAAAAAGTTTTAATTTCTAATTTTCAAAGAATCACTTAACATAAATAGAACTCAAACCAACAAAAGTGTGTAACGAAGACACTCGAGCAAATGGGGAAAAAATTAAAAAGTAATAAAAATACAAATGAGCCGCTTTCAATCATCCCCCTGACAACAGCGCGGGGGTGGGAGTGAGGGGGACGACGTCACATGAGATTAAAAAGTTTGACGAGCTCTCCCACGGAAATTAGCATATTGCGCTTGATTAACATACCGCCTAGGCTAATTTAAATCTACGCGATACTCACCAAAAATGTCATTCGAACTGAGGGCCTATCACGAAGCACGACAAATTGGGAGATACTATTGGTAAAGTTATTGACAAAATTGGATTAGATTTATCAAGAGACGTATCTTTTGTATCGGGTAAAAAGTACTTTAACAAATTTTGATATATTTTGTCGATGAAGTTACGAAAGTTCATATCGCAAATAATAGTAATAGTAAATATATATTTAAACTTTGTTTCCCATTGAAGACAAACAACGCGCCGGGGGTAAAAACGATATTTTTTTCAAAAGTACATTGCGAACGAAATTTCTCACATAAAAACGGAAATATCACAGCTGCGTCTACAATTTAATTGTGCGTCCCTTTTCCGCGGGAAAATTTAATAAACCAGGGCCGCATTGTAATCCATTTATAGAAAACTGACAGATCAATCTAGATATATAATATGAAAGGGGTGTGCAACCTTTTTTAATGCTATAGACACAGGATAACTAGTGAGACTGAAGATCGCTGATTGTTCGAAAATCAAACATCTTACTAATGTTATAAACTAGCTGTCGCCCGTGACTCCGTCCGCGTGGATATATACAAAACTTAATTAGTGCAGCTCACCCATCCATCTATCTACATCACATTCATCTAAACATTCGCTTTTATAATATTAGTAGGTTTAATAAAAAGCAGCTCTTCAAGGCATGAACTCAAAAAAATGAATAAATAATATCCTGTGTCCATCTCCTGGCTCTAAGCTACCTCCTCACCAATTTTCAGTCATATCGGTAAAGCCATTCTTGAGTTATAAATAGTGTAACTAACATGACTTTCTTTTATATATATAGATGCCATTGTTATATGGATGTGTGTTAGAAGGTATCTTCAAAACAGCTTTAACGGCTCTCTGTGAAATTTGGCATAGATGTAGAGCATACTCTGGAAGAACACATAGCCTACTTATTATTATAAGTTTTTTTTTATTCCGCGCGGAGAGTCAACCGAGACAGCTAATAACTTATAATCGAAGTATATTTTTTTACATTTGATTAAAATACCAATTCTTCACCACATTAACTATATCTGAGTTAAATTTCACGTCCATCAATTTGAGCAAATTCCTTAAAAAAGGGATACAACGTTTTCAAGTTATATATTATATTAAATACATTCTGACCCGCCCACCTACAAGACAAAAACAAAACAAGAGTATAAGTGCGTAAGTCCATTTGTCCTAAGGATATAGGCACACTAGGCGGTTTTCAACGCGCGCTATTGTAAAAGCTTAAAAAACCTTGCAACCTGCCCATTCTAGATTACCAACACAAATACCAGTTGGCGTGTATACGAATCTATTATAATAGAATTATTCGCATACAATGTTTCTCAAAGCGTGGGTTTAAAAAGTACAAACTTTGTCCGAGTTTTACAAGTTTTTAGGTTTTAGTATATGTCTGTTTACGTTCAAATTATTATTAAAAAAATATACATGTATTGTAAATTATAATTTATAGTTATAAAAATTAATACATACCGTTTCCTTCCTCCGATTTTCGATATAAAATACGATTATCGCCTCATATTGGTGCGCACGTCCTTCTCCCGCTGAAGTTCGTTTTGGACTGAAAAGGAATGAAGTTGTTGGCTCCCGCCCAGCGGGATAGGCGGGGCGTGCGCTGGGCGTGGCGGACGGCAGCAAATCGCCTTCAGATTTACACTTCTTTTGCTTCCAAGATGCTGCGGGTAACCGAGATTAACAAAGCCTGAAGTAAACTCGTCATTTCATAGTCGGTATTTAGATAGCTTGATATGTCTACGAACTGTAGGGTGACCAATTGGCCAATGTCCCGATTGATTTTTGGATAAATTTTAAGTTGAAGTTTACAATTATATGATTTATGAAAATCAACACTTTCAAAAACTCTTTGGTGTAAATTACAATCCATGTAAACATTCGCATTTATAATATTAGTAATATAGTAAGATTATTTGTCCCATTACTTCTTTGAAATACTTATGTCGTAGTCGTCTCTATCTCTAGATCGACCGTGAATTAAAACTTTAAGATACTTGTGCAGTTCTTGTCTAATGTTTTTAAATAATTGTTTACTACTCTGTGCCAATCTACGGATATGTAACGGACGTAAAATATTTCAAGCCACACTTTCAGCTTTAACTGAATAGTCGGACTCTACAGATAAGACTTACTTGCGGAGGCAAAATTTTAGCTGTCGCTTAAACGGAACAGTTCCCAGTTTTGTCTACAATCGTTGTACCTTTGTTAGTGGGAAATCGATTTAACATGTCTAATTGTTTCCACTGTCGATACACTTGTCTAAAAACATATTGTCGTCAGTCACATTCTCATTGAAGAAGTACTGATAACATAATGCTACATACAAGTTTCACGGCAGAAGAATTTCAAAGCTAAAGATAATTTTTTAATAACTTATAGCTATAAAGTAATGAATTAATTTTTTAGGCAAAATATATGGCTTTATAGACAGAGGTTATTTGTAAATGAACTTCTGCGTATAACAAATATGGCGTATCGAACACTATAAGTTTCCATTGTAACACTTAACACATAAAACCATGTTGAGATCTCACCAAATCCCACTGTTTATGCTTGAAAAAATGAGACAACAATGTGACATAACAAAACAATATGTAGTCAATAGTAATGGGTAACTAAACTAAAAGAGGTGACCTGCAGATCAGCCTATACTTCGCATGTGTTAAGCAGATGATTAAACTGGCTCGCAGATCTGCGCAATTTGTACCTGCATAGGGTTATGGCCTCCTTTTTTTCAGAGGGGAATGCTTTATGCATACTCTGCGCCCCGGGGGGGACGCGGTAGTTATGTGGTATTCTCTTCCGGATGGGAAGCATACCCACTAAACCCCTCTGTTCCTCCTACGCATCATGGCGAGACCACGGGCACCCTTGCGCTTTCGATCGCGACAGGGTTATGGCCTTTGTGACACGCAGGCTAGCTCGCAAAATACATCGCGTTGAGCCGTGAGCTACCGATTTGGATGTTGAACCACAGCTCAACGGTTTATCTACGTTCCTATTCACGTACGTACGTGAGCTGAACTCATGAACCGGTTCAGAGCTAATCTAAACACGTCGATGAATGAGTTCAATATGATGAAAATCTAATTGACGTTCATCAGTCCAACTAAGGATCAGATCGATTTCAATCGGACAGAAAAATGTAACGTTCATAGTATAAGCTTTAGAAAAAGCTTTATTGGTAACAAACATCACCTAATAATGGTACTGATTTATTATTTTTCTAACCTTTTTCTTACGGACATGTAGTTTTTTCTACTCTTCCATTCATCTGTATCAGCCGTTATATCTGAATTTACTCCCTTCTTACTTAAATCGTCTTACATACTATTCATTCAATGCCAGGAATTAGAGAGGATAATAGATGTTTTTTTAATTTACTTATAACGTGGTTGGGAATTAAAATAATGATATTTAATTAAATAACAGTCCAAAGACAGTCAGTATTAAAACACAACCGCTGAACTATGTTCTACATTTAACAATACTTGATCTACAATGATATGTATGTTTTAAGTTTGTATCTCTTGTAATAATTACTTTATTCATTCGTATTTGTAATGAGAATTAATATAATAATGTACTCTAAAAGGTTGCTTTTAAACTTGCTTACAAAATTCATGAACATTTTATAGTCCAAAATATGGGTCAACAGAGCCATCTGTTGGTTATAAGTAAAATAACCAAATAATATAGAAGCGAAAATTATGGTTTTGATGTTTCCTATATATTCGTATAGTTTCTGAATTAGAACGCGTCCAATCAATAGTCACCGCAGAGTTTAAGCAGATGGCGGCACTTATCATACGCAAGGCGTTGTCAAGTGACATACGATTTATTAAAACTTAACGCAAATCTTTTCAATTAAAAACGTAAACAACGTTTATCAATATCTCGTTGTATGTTAAATTTTCTCGTGCAAAAGTTGTACAGTGTTTATAATTTTTCATATTAAATCCATATTCAAGGAATTTGTTTTGACTTCATATAGCGTTGTGGCGTACCTCTAAAAATGGGGACATCTTTTACCGCCATCTTGCGTCTCTTCTGTCAAATGCGGTCGGTTTTCGTGAAGTAATTTTGTCTCAGCGTTTTGCATGAAGCAAACATTGAAAAACTTGCAAGTTATACGATAGTATTCGTAATTTTATTGGCAACTTCATGAAAATGTACGTATAAATAATGTGGCGGAAAATTTAAGTGAAAATAACAAATAAAGTCTAAAAAATGTCCACTCAAAGTTGGGCGTGCGTGACAATAGAAATGTCGTAGACGTCGATCGATTGCAAATGTGAAAAATATTAAATATAAATATAAATGAACTGTAGGAGAAAGTTTACCTCATCACTGTGATGTTTTGATTTGTGTTGGAATAATAACAAGAAACTACAATGTCTGATATGAAACAAGTGAAAGTGGATAATTGGGGAATATATTTCCTTCAAAGACTGAAGCATTTCTTTAACCGCACAGATTATTGTGATCTAACACTACAGTTCCAAGATAATGCTCAACTCAAGGTGCATAGACTCGTACTTAATGCATGCACTGAATACTTCGAGCTGCTTGAAAGAACATGCGAGATGTACGAGGATTGTTTGGTTATGCCGGATGACTTGCAAGCTGATGTCGTCGTACCCATAGTCAACTTCATGTACACCGGCCAGCTCGGTTTCAAGCCAGAGTTGTTGGAAAGGCTTTATCAAACAGCACAAGTAATGAATATGCCAGTCTTGACTAAACTACTAGATGCTCACAGAAACCAAATGCAACGAACAGGTCAAGATTATCAAAATCTAAGATCATATTCAAAATCATTTGAATCCCCCAAACCATCAAAGCCACCAGCTGTGGCCTCAACTAGTTATATGAGCACAAAACGCTCATACAGTAAAGCTTTTGATAATACATTTCCTGCAAAAGTGAAGAAGCAAACTGTTGAAAAGAATTCACACAAGCATGATCACAATTTGTCAAATAATGAAATTTCACAAAAAGAAGCCACTGAATATTCTGCTAAGAAAAAACCTTCAGTTGCTGAATCACGACCAACAAGGTATGAACTACCAGAAGAATTAGATGGTGACAATATCTTTGACAACTCATTTACAAGTATATCATATGAGTCAACACCATTGATGGTGCATCCTGAGACTGTGAAGCGTTATTCTTCAAAAAAAACTAACATTTTTGATGAGACTTCTAGTTCTAAAAGATTGCTTCATGGCACATCCACATTAGACATTGTTGAATGTAAAAAACTTTCATCAAATGAAAACATTTTTGATGATGTCTCTGAAAATATTCAAGATGATGCATTCTCTTCAGATGTTTCTACAAAACAACAAAAAGACTCAAATCAACTTTTTGATCTAATATTGGATAATGATAATTCAAAAACAACAATAGAAATTAAGGATAATGAAACATCTAAGAAGCCAAAAATAGATCATGCAAAAATAATAAGTGATGTCCTCAAAAAGTATCCACATTTGGTAAAGAGTAACAAAAATATAAAGTTGAGGGTATTGGATGCTCCAATTAAATCTAAAAAATCCAAATCTACAAATTTTTACCATGATGAAAAAGATGTAAAGTCAAAAAATGAACAAGATTGGACACTTGATATTGATGTGCTCGATTCAAAAGGAGCGGCAAAGCTCATAGCAATGGGGGTTGACAATATCAAGGGCCCATGGATATGTCTCATCTGCGGCACACCTGGACGAGCCTTACATTTCGGCTCCTATTATAAATTCCGAAGACATTTAGTAGAAGTTCACAATGAAAAACCAGTTGTAACTATGTGTGAATATTGTGGATTGAAGTCACATAAAAGAAATTACCTTTTGCATCATCTATACACTAAGCATGGTGTGCCACCTCCATCACCTTATTATTTCCCGAAGTGTAATCAGTGTCCTTACATCGCTTTGTCTGAAGCATTACTCGTAAAGCACAAATCAACACAACATGATGATAGCAAAACCTTTGCTTGTAATGTTTGTGCTGCTACATTCAGTTCCTCAACAAGGCTGCTCACGCATATTCATATGACGGGACACAAGTACAGTGCCGAGAGAAGAACTATATTGCATTGTATTTACTGTTATAAAACATTTTCCCGAGAAACTAATCTCTACAGCCATTTGAAATATAACCATAAAGAATCAGCACAAACTGATAAGATAATTGAGGAGTCTGATGATGAAAAAGAGTATAGAAGGCCTACGAGTGGAAAATCTGATAAAACCAAAAATATATCTCTTACTTATACAAATGAATATGAGAATATAGATGTCAAGTATCAAATACAACAGAAAGCAGATGGTAACATTCAAGTGCTTTCAAAATTGCCACAATCTCCTTCATCAAAACATAAGATATTAAATCCCTCATTTAATTCACCCAATAAGTCTACCCAAAAATCTGATGTATCATTAAGCAACAAAACTAAACCAGATGTCAGTGAAGCGAAAACTTCTAAAATCATTAATAAAGAAGATGAAATTGTTGTTATTAATGGAAATGAATATATTATAAAAGAAAATCATCTTATTCCAAGATCACAAAACGCCCCTGAAAATGAAGAATATATATTAAGCAATGTTGATACAGAACAAAGTGAAAACAATTCAGTACCAACTACTTCAATGGAGTACCCTATTCTTCATCACACTAATACCGAGGACCCTAAAATGATAATTAAGAAACCAATTCATGTGAATGAACCAATAGAAATTGTTGTTTCAAGCGAAGAACAATACAAAGCTTTGATGTCATCCACTCATTCTATTATATTTGAAGAACCGAATAAAACACTGACAGTTCTAACAGCACCCCAAACTTCTACACTTGAAGGTACTACTATTGATCTTGATAATACTCAAACGAATGATATGATGATAATTCAAGATAATTATCCATTAAATGTAACTGAAACTGTTTCTACTGATAATAACAATATTGTTGTGGTATACAGCCACCAAGTAGATGATTCAAGTAAACAATTCCAATATATACCTACTCAGGGTATTGAGGCACAATTCATACAGTCTTCAGCTATGGTGACCCAAAATTATGGTACTGTAACTACATCCACTCCAGTTATGAGTGTCCAAGCATTAGACAGCAATGTGAATGAGTCATGGCAGAATAGCCTTAAAGGAAATGTTGAAAGTGTACCAATTCAGGTAGAGCTGCAACAACATGCTGAAGCAGATTCAAATGCACAGCAATTGATTGGAGACCCACAAAATTCATCAGATATCCAAAGTACTCAAGATATTCTTTCCTCGGAAGACCCTTCAGATTTGGACACCATCAATGAGACCACTTCCCAGACATGCTTACAAAATACAAATAATACTAAAACAGTTAGTATGGATCAAGTATTAATAAATGAAGTCCCGAGTGTACCAACCACAAATGTGCCTATAACAGAGCCAAGTGAGCAATTGGTACATAAAGAAATACAAACCGAAAGCATAGATATTGTATGTTCAAAGCAATTAGACATACCAGAAAATAGTGTGAAAAATAATGGACAGATAAGTATAGTTGTAGAAAAAGGTAATGAAAACATAATTGTTTTACAACAAAAAGTGGAAGAGATTGATATAAATAGTGATGTGAATATAATAGCTCAAGATGCTTCAGTTATTCAACAAAATTTTATTACAGAAGAAGCTGATATGAGTAATGCCTCCAGTATTGTTGAGGTACCAACAAACACCATAGAGGGAAGACCAAAACAATCTGATAAAATACTGCCTGATGTAACATCTAAGTGGACTGCGGTTGACAAAGGAAAGATGATAGCAGATGTAGACACTAATGTCACAGGTTCAGCATATATAGAAGAGTCTATTGAAAATATACAACAAGAAATGGCCAAACAATTACAAGCCATTACAACCGAAAACACAACAATACAGAACACTGAACCTGTAACTACATCTACCACAAAAAAAACTGAAGTAGAAAATGAATCAGTTATAAAAGAATTGAATATAGAAAAACATTCTTCATCTTTAGGTTTAGAAGACAATGAAATCGCACCTGAAGAAACCAACAAAAAAGTGCTTGTTTCACAAACCAAAGACAAGGGAATCCCTGAGTCAATACCAATAACAATTGTAGAATCTACATCCACTGATGTCAATGGGGGGTCATCAAATATCACAGATAAAGAAGAAATCAGTGGAAAAAATATTCAAAAGAATGTGGTCACTGCAGCGGAGACTGAAATTAATTCTGCAGATATAAGTGACCCCGCAGACATACCTCTGGCATCTGAACACAAAAAAATAGTCAACAATGGCAAAGACAACAAAACCGAAGGAAACACAATAGAAAAAAATCATACAAAGCCACAACAGCGGCCTGTTATATCACTAAATAATAAAGCAAGAGAGAAAATAAATACAATACTAAATGATTGGGATGATAATGATGATCAGGATGATGAAAAAGATGATTTGATAACTGAAAGTGAGTTAAATGTAGCTAAGAATAATGATGAGATTGTACAGGAAGAAATGATACCAGAAGTGAGTACTGCACAAGAAACAATTGTAACACCTCCAGTTAAAGTAGCTGGTATCAGTAATGACAAAATAAAAAGCATTGTAAGTGATTGGGATGATGATGATGATGAAGAAGAAGAAAGTAAATGAAAACAAAGAATACAAGTGTGTGATGATGTATATAAAGTATTTAATATGAATAACTATAGAAATCCACTGATGTTACATTTGTAGTAACATATTGTCATACCCATTCTTTTTGACAAAACAAGTGTCATGACAGTCGAATTCTATGGCGTCAAATACAATATTTATTGTCCAGTTCGACTTTGATAAGTAAGAGTCTGGTCCCAACGGACAACCTCAATAAGAAACTCCTTTCTAAAGATAAAATATTGTGGTCCCTTAGACTTAGCTTATCTAGCTTCAATTATGTTTGGAATATAGATCAGAAATTACTTTAAGAAATAATTTGCCACATTTTATATTGTGTTTAAGTTCTATTTACAAAATGTAATCAGACAAGTTTTATTTTCATTACAATGTTTGTAATTGTTTTTAACTAGCTTTTATTAAGTAATGAAATACATTTTTGTTTTATGTATAGAGTGAGCAGACAACTTGACATTTTAGTGCCCACGAGAATATAAAAATATTATTTGGCAGTTGCATTCATAATAATGGCTAAAAATGTAATCTTTCATAAATTAATTTTGTATATGTTAGTAAAAAAGTCTTCTTATTTATGAAACTATGTCAAGAATAGCTTTTGCTTTTTCTATATATCTATACTTCTTTGCATGATGATTAATGTCAAGAAATTGCTATGGTTAGATATAATAGCAATCAATCCATTTTTTTAGTATAAGAATCATAGTTTTATGAGTATATTTAACATTAGAATACATATTCATATTGTATCACAAGACAATTGGTTTTAATCAATTTATTATATTTATGGCATAAGTGTTAGTAATAAATACATTTTACAAGAAAAATTGTTTTATTTAGTAAATTATTGTTTTTTTCACACCCCATGTAGTCATCATATTTAAAATGTTAATTTATTTTCTATCTTTGATTATTTGAAATATATTTTTATAACTTAATTGATTATGTTTATTGGGCAGTATTAATGATCCTTTTATTCCTAAACTAACCATATTTACTCATGGGTTTCTGATATTGAAATCCTTGTCTAAAACATAATCTCTGTTTTGTGAAAGAAAATGCCAGGGAGGATGATATAATTTATGCAAAGATTTAAGTCTCTGAAACCAACAGTAAATAAATTATTTTGCTATTTGTCCTGTAAAAAATGGATACACTTTGTTAAAATGAAACAAAATATTTATGAAAAATACTGTTTAATTGATTTTATAAATTAACAACAAACTGCCCATATATTTTACCTATTATATTGTTGTGTATTTTTAATATAACAATCATTTATTATTGGAAATTCAACTATTCTGTAAAAGAAAACTTCCAAGTTTTGAGAAATGGATAACCCACAGCCTTTTTCCATCAGGTAGCAAGTTAATATGTCAACATACATAATGTAATACTAATATGAATTCAATAAATGCAATTAAATGAATAATTCACATAAAAAATCATCATAGAATTTTTATCTAGAAACATGTTTATTTAGAAAAGGATAAAGTTAATTAAATAATATATGTTTCAGGAATGAATGTAGCCTTATTTTATAATATTACTTTTCTTTTATATCATTCAAAAATAACCAGCACATAGCTTCTACTTCTAAATCTGCAAATTATTTAAACTATGCTAATTTTATTAAAATATTTTTTCAAACTATTGCTTAAAATATTTTGGAATTACTTTCCAATTTTCCCTATAAATTGCTGAATTTTACTAGCATATACTAGATATAAAATATTGCAATGTTTTACTATTGTGTTTCTATAACCTATGTGGTGTTTGAGATTGCTATTGAAAAACTTCACTTGAATAAAAGCTCTTGTGGTGACATGTGCAAACATCAGCCACATTTGCCAAGCACCCATCAGTCTAAGAACTGAACATAGAGATGGAGAGAAAATAATATTTATATTTACAAAATAAGTTACAATATTTACATTTAACTTTTGAATAATCTTTTTTTATGCTCAACTTGTGTTTTGATCTAATCAGAGATAGAAACTATAACATATTTCACCATGCATGCAAGACATACAAAGCCTACAAGCACTAAGAGATTTGTTACAATGTAGTACATGTTCGATTGCTGTTCTGTTGTCACTTCTCTGGCTCTATTTGTGTTGGATTTTTTGGCATGCCGCATAGATTCCTGTCTCTGTTTGATCAACTTTTCAATCTCTTCTACATATTCTGGAAATAGCTCACAGAATATCTTGTTTTTAAGATTTATTTCGAGCGATTCAGCCGCTAAACATCGTTTTTGGTAGTCCGACGTCTCTATAGACCCCAGTGTTGGAGTTTTCTCCAACATAAAACTAAGTAGCCCTGTCAATATGGTTGAGATTGACCATGCTGGATTCCAAGTATCTGGATGAAAATCGGTTATGCTGAGACATAAGCGAGTGTTTGTCTTAAATCTTCCATTGGGTGTAATCATATAAATAGATGGTGGCTTAAATGGGAATTCTCTGGGGAAGTTAATTTTGCCGTGATAGTAACCTCCTTCGTATGGACTCTTTTCGGGGCCCTTTACAACGTAATGCCATTCCAGGATGTTAGATGGCACAGGTTCCGCAGTTACATACGGTACTGGGTCATTTTTAAGCCTGAGATAGTCTTGCTTCAATCTGCTGGTAGCACCCGTCACCTTAGTTTTCGGCATCGTTTATTGCACAAGTAACTTCAAATGCTATTGGAGATGGATACTATACGTCAAAGACACTTATTCATTGTACAACTGCAGTATTTCCAAAATGATCTCTTGAATATATTATCTTTTCACTAAAACAAATAATCGTTTTATAAAACAGGATACGTCATTACCAAAAGACATGCGAACTTGCGATTCGCTCAAACATCGAGTGCCGTATGTCAATGTCATGTAACGTTGAAGTTTGCGTTTCGCCACGAAATTAATTTCTCAATAACATTGAAGCAAAAAGTGATTATGAATTGTAAAAAAAATATTTCAATTAAAAGTTTAGATAAATAACTAATAATGAAATAAAAAATTACCGTCAATTTTTTTTCAAGGTAAAGCTTGCCAAAAAAAAATTATACCATTGTGATACAGAAAATCGTTCAGGGAAAAATAATTTATGTTTGATAGGCGTTCTGCGCAATTGGAACTCTTTATTTTTATGGCTTTTAACTTTTTAGCTTATAACTAATGGACGCCCGCGACTTTGTCCGCGCAGAATTAAAAACATAATTGTCAAATTTGATCGGGTCCGTTCAGCCTTTCTGGAGATACCTTCAAACATACATCCATCCACATATCTAAACATTCGCATTTATAATATTAAAAAGATTATTATTTGAGAGCTTATAAGAAAATTCAAATTCTTATTAGGTACACTTTCATGTTGAAAACATTCTGAAGTTATTTTTCTGTTTACTTTAAACCGTTAAAATAAAAATAAAACGAATCTGTTATAATAATAACATTTAATAAATATCAAGTAGCATTTAGACATAGGTCAAGTGCCACAATTTATCAAAATACTTCTTATTTCGTTGTTCAATTGCTTGAGTGTAGCCTCGTCCGGGTTGTCTTGTTGAATCAACTGATCCCTTTGGCTTATTAGCTCATTTAATTTGTCATTTATAGAATTTTTAGAAGCGTTTCTGCAACAAAACAGTGGAATATTATTTAGTTAAATTCATGCCATCCATCTCTGTTAATTCTGATGAAACACTCGCACAAAAACATAATATTCCCATCCCTTTTATTCTTCCTTTAAACATTGAGATAGCTATATATTTTGACAAATGTGTCGGTAGTGAAAAGTCATGGTTAATATTTTAGTTTATACTTGACTTACTTCATTTCCATGAACATATCTAGACCGTCGGGCCCAGGTAAACCTGAAAACAATGATTTTAATTTTAACTAATTTAATTATTATGTTATTTAAAGATTTCTTTAAAATAAAATGAACTAAATTATGGTTTTATGTATATGTCTTTTCAAATATATTGGGACTCAAGGTCATCTGTTCCGCATACCGCTCCTCCCCGCCACACCTAAAGTTGTCTTCTATGTAACGACTGCGTGCATGTTCCCAACCCGCTAACACATTTGATAACCTCTATACTAATTTAGTAACCATGTAGCCTTTACAATAAATGAGTTTTTATGTATAAACTGGCTGTAGCCCGCGACTGCGTCTGCTCAGAATTGAAAAAAAATTAAATAGCCTAATTTCCCATGCAGCCGTTTTGGAAACAAACATCCATCCATGTAAACATTCGCAATTATAATATTAGTAAGATAAGATTTGTTACTAACTGATAGCTGAATGTGACTCAAGCGGCGGTGTATTCGCCAGCAAGTCAGCGTAAAAGTCGTCTTTTAACTTTTTAATATCAGTTTCATTTGCATCTTCTCTGTTTATTTCATAATCATCTATTGTGTCCAAACTGAAAATAATCATATAAATAATATTTTAAATGCATTAACATTGGTAGAGCAAGCTTTAACATCTTCGCACGAATTGTCCCGGCTTGTCTGGTGACATACCACGACCATACAGAAGTCACGCGTCAAGTGAAAGCAATTCCGCGTGCTGTCTGATGAGTGTGGGTCCCGGAGCCCTAATTTAGTTCTCTTTCCCTTCCCACCCTTTTGCTTATAAAGACTTTCCGGATGAGAGGATGCATGGAAAGGGAAAATATTTTCTTTCTGTGCATCCTCTCCTCCGTCGATGAAAGATAGGCAACGCATATGCAATTGCGTATGTCTATGGGCAACGGTCACTTCGCTATTTCAGCGATTTCAGGTGGCCGCTAGCTCGTTTGCCACCTTATGATATAAAAAAAAATCATATATATATTATAAGCAGTCACCCGCGACTCCGTCCGCACGGGATTGAAAAAATAATAGTAGCCTATGTGTTCTTCCAGACTTTGTTCTATATGTATGCCAAATTTCAACGAGATCCATGCAGCTGTTCTGGACATAGGTTCAAACATCGCGATTCTGATATAAGCAGTATGTACAAATATATAGTTGTCTCTCTCACCCGACTTGATTTAGACGACTCTTCTCTCTCCGCAGCTGAGACAGCATGTTGCGGCGCGAGGACATCTTGGTGAGGTGCAGCTCTCTCACAGCGCGGCCCCACTGCTCCTTGAAGAACGCCTTCGATTGCACCGCGCTGTCCAACTTCTCTTCTAAGCAACGCTACAACACAAATACAATCTTCTTTATCAAAGAACTACGTAAATAGCACATTTTTATATCGTACTAGCTATCGCCCGCGACTCCGCCCGCGTGGAATGAAAAAAAACTTAATTAGTTTCCGGTAATTATTCGAATTTTTGTCACCTTTTAAATCATCCCTAGACCTCCATGAACATTTCAAGACCAAGATAAAATAAATCCGTTCAACCGTTCTCGAATTTTAACGAGACTAACGAACAGCAATTGATTTTTATATATATATAGATGAATAGCTGTCGCCTGAGACTCCGCCCGCGCGGGATTAAAACAATAATTAGTAGTATATGTTCTTCCAGGTTATGTTCTACATCTATGCTTTTCAGCGAGATCCATGCAGCAGTTCCAGTGATACATACAAACATTCGCATTTATAATATTAATAAGAAATAACATATGCAATAAACACATTTTAACTGACCAGTTCTTGTATAAGACTAGCAGTCTGGTCTTTGGTCAAGCCGGAATGTTTGCTTTCTGCATCTTTCTCCATATTTCTCATGTTATTCTGGAAAATAAAAAAAATACGATAAAAAATACTTATATTTTTAATTTGATTGTTTGTTTGTATTGAATAGGCTCCGAAACTACTGAATTTATATGAAAAATAATAACCCTATTGTAGCTTGCGGGTGACATAAGATACATTTTTTTTAAATTCTACGCAAAGTCTTAGGCATCTAATAGTGGCAAATAAGTTAACTAGATGTCGGAGACTTCATTAAACAAATTTCTCTCAAGAATTATAATATTTTCCGCGATATAAGTAGCCTATGTTCTATTGGAGTGAAAATTGATACCTTAAGTACTTCAATATTCTTCTCCAGCGTCTGCACCTTCAGCTCCAACTCCTCGATCCTCATATCCTTCAGTTTGAGCTGATGATGCATATCATCCTCCATTTTCTGAGACGCCTCGCGCAACTCTTGGTATTTAGCCGTGTAATGTGCTTCTAATGCTTTCTTAGCTTCAAGTAGCTGGAAATTTTAATTTAATATTATATAGCAAATTAAATAAAAGAAAAATCTCCATTGTTTTTTCAATAACTTGTAGAATACGAATCTAATCTTGTTATTAAATATATATTTTTTTTAAGTAAAATATTAGCAAACTATTTTTACAATTATTATATCTTACTAATATAATAAATGCAATTGTTTATATGTATGGATGGATGTTTGTTGCAAGGTATCCCTAAAATGGCTTAATGGATCTCGATGATATTTGGCAAAGATGTCGAACATAGTCTGGAAGAACACATAGGCTACTAATTATGTTTTTTTAGGCTAGCTAGTTATTAAAAAAACACATTACCTTCCTCTCCCTCTCAGTGTTCCTGTACCCCCTAAGCCTGAAGTCTTCAGTAGCGCGGCTGAGGTCTGCAGCGAGTGAACGGCACCGCTCCACACCTGCCCGCAGCTTCTCCTCCAATTCCTCGCGTCTCTTCTCCCACTCACGAGACAGCAGTTCCAGGTGATACTCTTCTTTACGACGTAACTGTACAACAAAATAGAAACAGCTTTAGAGTTGACGGGCTTCACCAGATGCTGGAACCCCTCCTATGGTATTAAAGGATGGACAGCAAGGGGGTTTTAGTGGGTTAAATCCCACATAGCAACTGTTAGACAATCCGACACTGTGCCGGTGTACTGGAGCAACACTAGCCTTACTATAATGTCGACGTCTATGTCCTCTCACTAATCATTCTGACACTTAACTTTGTAATGAAAGCGCGCCATCCAAGTTACCTGACATTTATATAATTCTTGTTGCCTCTCCTTCCAGTCTTCCAGTTCATCGATGAACTTTTGCAAGATAGCCTCTCTTTCCACTGCGGGTAGGACTTGTTTCACTACATCTGTAATTAATATTATGTTACACTTTATATATTGCATTACTAGCTGTCGCCCGCGACTCCGTCCGCGTGGAATAAATAAAATTTAATTAATAGTCTATGTGTTCTTTTAGACTATGTCTTACATCTATGCCAAATTTCAGCGAGATTCATGCTGCTGATCTAGAGATACCTTCTAACAAACACCAATCCATACATCCATCCGAAATCCGCATTTTTAATATTACTAAATAAATAAGGATGGGAAGTGGAAGTGGACATTCCGGATGAGAGGATGCATGGGAAGGGAGAATATTTTCTTTCTGTGCATCCTCTTCTCCGTGGATGAAAGTTAGGCAACGCATATGCAACTGCGTATGTCTATGGGCAACGGGCACTTCGCTATTTCAGCGATTTCAGGTGGCCGCTCGCTCGTTTGCCATCTTATGATATAAAAAAAAATAATAATAAGTATGCAAAACAAATACTGAATTAAAAAATGCAAAAAAAAAAATTTTTTGTACAATAATACGCACGGATAATATTTTTTAGGTTAGAATAGGCAAATTAACAAAATAACTCACCTTTTTCTGAATGATTTTTATATTCTTTTTCTCTAGCGTCTTCACTGAAAATAAAAAAAATATTATTATAGAAATAAATTCTACAAAAAAACAAAAAAATATAATAATTAAAATTTCTTACCAATCATATTGTTTATGATTTCCATTATCTTGTTCATATATCTTATTATCTCCATCTCTGTCTGTCTTGATGTTATCTTGTATATCTGTCTCAGGTCCGCACTGAACTTGCATGTCACTTGTGAACGGTCTCTGTTCCGACTTGTGTTGGCTCTGAGCGAGAGAGTCACACATCTTTCTTAATAGTTCTGTTATTTCACTTGTCTGTAGGATATTATCTCCATTCGCGGTTTTATATCTTAAATGTAAATATCTTTATATTAAATTGTTTAAATAATGAGTTAAATATTTGTATAGCTTTTAACTATCATAATATTATATTATAAATGCAAATGTTTAGATGGATGAATGGATGGATGTATGTTTGAAGGTATGTCTGAACGGATCCCGATTATATTTGGCATACATATAGAACATCTGGAAGAACACATAGGCGGTCAAAGTCACGAGCGACAGCTTGTTTTTTATTTATTAAATGTTTGACTTTTTTGTCTTTTTTAAGCATTTTATCCTACTTAGTCATTACTTTTTTAATACCTATGGTCTAGATTTTGCCAATAATTTAGATTGAAATTCTAAAGAAATGTAATTAAACGCTAAAATATAAAAAAATATTGTCATCCATTTCTCTCTTTTTAGAAACGGATATAATAACAATAATAATTGTTATTAGTTCAAAACACAATTATTTTACACTAGCAGTCGCCCCCGACTTCATCCGCGCGAGATTAAAAAAACATAATAAGTAGCGTATGTGTTCTACCAGACTAAGTTCTATTTTCATTCATTCATAGCATTTACAATTTTATACAATTTTCTAAAACAACTAATACATACGTTTTACCAGTGGAAACCCACTTTAAGATATTAAACATACCTAGCAGTGTTCCCCGCAGACTTGTTTGTGTATCCCACTCCACCAACGTCCGGGTCTATTTGTGTACAACTGCCACTTCTATAATCTAGTTTACTCTCATTATAATCAGCTTTTATTCCACCTCTCTCTAAATGTGTTATACTTCGGGCTGATAATATATTAGGTTTCTGAAAAAAACATAAAAAACTTATATTATAACTAGCTGATCCAAGCCAATCAAAAAATTAATAAATAGTCTATGTGTTCTTCCAGACTATGTTATGTCAAATTTCAGCGAGATCCATGTAGCTGTACTAACATACATATATCTAAACGTTCGTATTTATAATATTAATAGGAAGCGAGAAATTATGTCAAATACATATATAAAAATAAATTGCTGTTCGTTAGTCTCGCTAAAAGACGAGAACGGCTGAACGGATTTATCTTATCTTGGTGTTAAACGTTCATGGAGGTCTAGGGAAGGTTTAAAACGGAAAAAATCGAATAATTGCCCTGTGAAAAGCCTTTAGGAAATCTTAATTCTAATCCCACACGGACGGAGTCGCAGGCGACAGGTAGTTTTAAATAAAAGGCTTATTATTATTATTATACCTGTACTTTAGATTTATCAGCGATATATTTAAGGCTGATCTCAACATCCATGTAGGGTCGTCGCACACTGAGCGCGGTGTCGTCGCAGCGCACCAGGTAGCAGCGCTCGTGTATCGCCAGCCTGCCCTCGCTGTTACAGAACTCTGATATGAACCTCTTCACGTCCTCCGTAGGGATCAACTTACGTAAGTCTAAACTGCAAATACCTACAACAATGGGAATCCAACATTTTAATCAGCTCTTCTGGAAAGAAACTCTTTAAAAGTATTAACACCGCTTTTTTGGAGCAAAATCTTACTAATATTATAAATATGAATGTCTGGATAAATGTATGTTAGAATGTATATCCAAAAAGGCTGTATGGGTTTCGCTTTAATTTGGCATAGATGTAGAACATAGCCTGGAAGAACACATAGACGAGTTATTAAGTTTTTTAATTCCACATGGACGGAGCCGCGAGCGACAGTTAATCTTACTCTATAATAAATGCAAATGTTTGGATGAATGGATGTATGGATCTCATTGAAATTTGGCACAGATGTAGAATATAGCCTGTAAAAAAACATAGGCTACTAAATTTAATTTTATCCGCGGAGACGGAGTCGCGGGCGACAGCTAGCTAGTTCAGCCGAGTAAAGAAATGGGTTAAATATTAAAACTTACCAACACCTCTATCGACGACGCATACTCTAACAACGAGATGCGGACACTCGGCGAAGTACCGAGCGAGCGCGGCGAGGTGTGTGCGCAGGCGCAGCGACGTGCGCTGGTTGAACTGCGCACTGCTGCCTGTACTTAGTGACGTCACGCCCACTCTGATAACAGTATATTCAAATATATATTTTTTTCTTATAGCATTACAACATTTTTGCAGATGATCACTAAATCTATACTAATGTTTGTTTAAACGCGCTAATCTCAGGAACTACTGGTCCGATTTGAAAATTATTGTTTTTTTTTATTGAATAGTTCATTTATAGAGGAAGGCTTTAGACTATAACATTACGCTGCGACCAATTTTTTTTTTAATTCCGCGCGAACGTAGTCGCGGGCGACAGCTAGTATTATATAATTATTTGAGACTTTTTAAACATATTACACAGCTAAGATTTTGCGAACTGATGATCACTACATTGAACTTCACACACACAAACTCACCTGTCCGTCATTATATTATGTGTAAATATTGAATATGTTATACAGCAGTCGATTGCTTCTTTATTTATATCATTTGGTAGAAGCTGAAATAAAAATAAAAAAAAACATTTTTTTTATCATTATATACTATCTAACTGAGACATAGTTTCAACAACTAAACTTTTGGTGTAATGTTACTAATATAAAAAATGTGTATGTTTAAATGGATGGATGTTTGTGTTTAAGTATCTCTGAAGTAAACTTATCTCGCTGAAATTTGTCATATATGTAGAATATAGTCTGGAAGAACATATAGACTACTTGTTAAGTTTTATTTATATTCCGCGCAAACAGAATCGCGGGCAACAGCTAGTTAATTGTATAATCTTTTTTTTTAATGACTAAAAACTTTAGAATTTTATAAACTGTATTTACCATGTCCAAGTTCTCTACAGATCCAATCACAAAGCTGAGAACATACAACTGGTCTCCGAGACCAATTTGTATCAATCCTTCCTCACACAAGAGTTGCGGCTGCAAGTCGGGTGATGATACCACTTTTTTACTTTCATTTAAATATTCATCTAAAAATAAGTAATAAAATAATATATTTTAATAACTAAAACAGACAGAAATAAGAGATTTCCAAATAGATTTTATATTTAGGCAAAGTTTGTAGAGAAAATAATAAGCTACTGTTAGAACAGCAATCTTAAACCCAGACCTTATTCTATTTTTTTCTTTTCATCTCTTCCCACTCTTATCTGCTTAGGAAAGATAAACATATGTAATGGTCAGGAAAGAGACATCTTTCATTCTGCAGTTATAAGATGAAGATGAATAAAACTTTACTATTTAATATTGTAGTTTTCAAACTTCTTGGCAGCTCTAAACTTCTTCCGAGCTACTCAGATCACAATGTAATGTTTGTTGGAGCATTGCGAGGTGCAGGGAGGAGTGACTAATCCAATTACCTTGAGCCGCTAAGATATTTGACAACAGTGATACTTACTCAATGTCAACAACACAGGTCCACCAGCTTGAGCACTGTTAGGTGTATGAGATAGAGGGTATGCAACTTCATTGCTGTGAAACATACGAAGTTCATTGCGCTTGAATAAATAAAAAAAAATATTATTAATATAATTAACTGCAATTTAAAATAGTACTACCTTAAATAGTGTCTTTTGGAATATCTCTTGAATGATTTTTTTAAATAAAAAACCAACTTGATAATAAATACTATAATATTTGTAAGAAGGTATTGAGATTTTCAATTAAATTTGTGATAAAGTTATACTCCAAATACTAAAATCTAGTTTAGTGTAGGTAACCTTCACTAAGTTTATGATTATCAGCTTATATATACAATTAAATCTGGATAAAAAAAGTCTAAGGAGCTGCAATATTTTTCTCGCCAACAGAGGTTTCCCTCTAAACCCATAGTTCTGGCTTATGTAGGTGAGTCTTAACCAATCAATGTTTCTCACTTCATTCATTGAGGTTTGACTGTATACCCAATGAGACAATGCCTACCATAAATTAAGGGTGTATGTGATAGTAACTCACCGGTGTTGGAGTACTGACTCTATCTTCAATGGAAAGACTCATAAGTAATTGTGGATGACAACATTTGCCTTCAGATTTTATTCCGAGTAATTTATGCCATGAATATTTCACCTGAAATGACATAAGCATAAAACATGTTATCATTTGTTTTAAAAATACAAAAATAAATTCCATTAATTCACATTTTTTTACATTTTTTTTTATATAGATCAACTCACATCTACAAATTTATTGGATGGACATGGCTGTGCTCCTAATAAGCTCAATAAAATATATCCTATTTTATCTTTCCTGCCTTGTGTGCTTGTAGTAAACACTTCAACCTTGATTGGGACATTTTGTACTCGTAAACTGAAAAACAATCAGTAAAAGTAATTTATCAAACATATATAATTTCAGATGCAAGTATATCAAACAAGACCTTTACCATAGTAGTAACATGCCATATGTTACAATCTTGCATGTATTTTTCTATTATATGAACATATAACATAATGTTAAATAAAGGCTAACGATAATGTAAGGCTTATAAATTACCAAAGATGATAATAAGGATTCCATGATACTGTTGTTTTTTATACTTTGTAAAGTATCGCTTTACGATACCACCTAATTTTACGTGGTAATATTGGCGAAATAGTACTTTTGAGATTGATTATATGAATTTTTACCTTCGAAATCTTCTTTTATCTGCTTCCCAAACCAGTTCAGCATCAAATGCCGGTGCATGAGTTGGTACAACTGGATCGGTTTCCAGCATATATCCATTGAGAGATCCACTCACGATGAAGGGTATACGAAGAAATCCAAAGCCAATACCTTGTAAATTTAATTTACTTATGAAAAAATGTCCAATTTAAAAATAATATATTTTTACAGATTTCACTGACCTTCTTTTACATGAAGTACAATTTGAATATTAGGTCCTCGTAATTCGTCCATTTATATTTTTACAAAATACAGATCTAAATAACTAAATACACAATTTATACATGGTAAACAAACTAACTTCCATTTTTGAAATTTTGTTTATCAAAACATCAGTTTGAATTTGACAGAAAAATATTGCCATGTTATAAATAGTTTTCATTTTTCAAGAAAAAACATTCAAGGCCTGCAAAATTACGTAATTTTAAAGCACTCCAAAAATCTACGTTAGCTTTGTTAAAAACTTAAAATCGCAAGATGGAAACAATTGGGAAATAGGATACAAAAAGTATTTGTAAACATGCATCTTGCATCCTTCAAATTATAAATGAGAATGGGAATGATATATAGTTTTATTAATAATTATTTCTGGTATAATTAGGAACGAAATACTCTACACTTAGATATTTTTATTTCATAGCTCATCTATTTTTTCTTTAACACTCCTTAATTTATTAATTTAGATTTAAAAATGTTATTGGAGCAATACAGAAAACTCAAAAAATGTGTCATGCGTAGAATCGAATAATTACATTATTTATTTTTTAATCCCATTACCCATACTTCTTCTATAATTATAATAAAGTAAGATAAAATATAACAGATACGATTCCAATATTTTATGCACATTATTGTATTTTTTTATGTATTTGTAGACATACATTTATCACGTAAAATAATTAAATCGATAATTGACTAGGTTTTTCGTCATAATATTTCCGTTTGTATTACTTCTTGTCAAAAAATTTAAAATAAACAACGTAAACTAATGTGCTAATTATTTAGGAGTATAATATATTATTCTCATTTTAGTATTTTTCCAATAAGAAAACTATGCGGAAATTTCTTTTTGAATATAAAGTTACAAGAAGTCATTCCGATATACAAATGTCAACTGAGCCACGGTAATAACACGCAGATTTGCGGGTGATCTTTATTAATACGCTACCCTTTTATTTATCAGTTCATGCATACTTAACTGCAAATAGTGGTCAATTCCGTTTAGTTTAAATGGTCAAAGAGTTGTATGTAAGCACGGTAGACTGAATCGCGGACCGCCCGGCGCGGATGAAGTGGATCACCAGAGCGCGACGAAAAGTAATTTGTACAAAAAACTGAATTCAACTCATTGCGAATGCTCTGTTGTTCGTGATGTTTTGTCCGACCGCACAATATATCGATGGTCATTGTTGCTAGACGTTTTTACGGTACTCGGACTAAACCGCGCCGGTAACGATCAGAATTTGCAGTGAACTTTCAGTTTTGCTTTAGTTGTTGCCTCAGGAAAAGTTTGTAACATAAACTTGACTAGATAGTTTGTTTGCGGTGCGTTATTGCAAAAAAAAGCTAAAGAAGTGTTGGTTTCGGAATATGGGAGTTTTAAAGTGGTTGCGGCGGTGAGTACGTATATTAAAATTATACAAAAATACTAATAACATTTTACATTTACCCTTATATTGTGTGATGACTAATTTGTAAATATTTTAATTCGTCACATTTAATAAATTAACTTTATTTTCAAAAAATGCAACATAATGCGGCGTGTAGGTTATAATTATCATGAAAACTTAACTTCTTCAAATGTAAAGTCTGTTTGTTCTTATTTAAGAAATACGTAAAATACAATGCGCTAAGCGAAGTAATGCTCATTTTATCTTCTCAAATCGATTTTTAATTTATTCAAATTAATATGTTGCTATTAATACTTATTCAGTTTTTCAATGTTTACTTTAAATTTTTTGTTACATAGATTCTCGGTACATAATATACTTACACAATCCTTTGCTGAATTGTATAAAATCTATTGATCTGATTACAATACATGGAGGTCACATACCATGGTTCTATTGTGAAACCTTTATTTTCAATGCATGTTTTGTTACAATTGTACTTACATGTTATATTCGTATGACCGATTATAGGTAACCTCGGAAGCGCCTTTTAACTCTGTATTTACCGGCTGACCTTACTGCTTTTCGGTTGTACGTGAGTAAGATTACAATACCACTGCCGAAACAATTGTACAAAACATATATCCATCTCAAATGGTGTCTTTGAAATATTTCTCATCATATTTCTCGTCATCTCGCTATCTTTCAAAATATTAAGATAAACACATTTTTTTTTATTGTAAATGTATCGGCAATCAGCAGTGTGAACGTACGGTTGTGTGATAAACCGTAAACACTTTATTCTTGCTCTTGTTGTATATTTATTAAGCAGTACTTAATCTTGTTACGTAAATCGGCTTATATTATGTTGATAAACAAACATAGGTGTTTGTTACTGGCATAGCCGATTTTTTTTTTAAATAGGGTCGGCCAATTTTTTTATTGTCATCGTTGATGTATTCAGCCTAGCACGAATATTTGTGACAATCATCGTATCGTCTGGTGTAAAGTATATAAAAAAATCTCATACTAATTTTGACATAATTGACGATGACGATACGAAGACGATTTTCACAATATTCGTGCTAGACCCATAGTATCGTTTCTTCTATCTTGAAGCGCTAACAAAGCAAAAACAAAGACACTCAAATATATCACAAGAAAATGTTCATGAAATTATTTGGAATCAATTATTATAAATACGTCCAAATTATAGCTTAACTATATTTGTTTTGCTACTTTTTTTTAAATACGATCGGTGGTTGAAAATTACGTCATATTATATTACACTTGCAATTTATTCAATAAAATAAAAACAAGCGGACCGTTGTATAGGTGTACTTAATACTATGGCTTCGTTCACCGAAAGAAGGGTGCGTGCGGCTTCAATATGTTATTTGTATTATGTGTGATTCATACGCAGTTTTGTACCCTTTGCAAATTCACATCGATACTCTATTTCAGTATGACGTAAAAATTAACATACATATCTTAAATGCGAATGTTTGGATGGATGGATGGATTTTTATAAGAAGGTATCTCACGAACGGCTGCATGGATCTCGCTGAAAGGCATAGGACATAGTCTGGAAGAACACATAGGCTACAAATTTGGTTTTCTTTTAGTTCCGCGCGGAGACGGGGGCGACAGCTAGTTGATAAATAAAATGGCCTCTCTTCAAAAGTCTTGTATCTTTTTTACTCATATGAAAAAAAGCTTTGCTATCTGTATTTACTCCTTTATATTTAGAGTTTATTTTCTTTTTAACACTTATGGCTGTTTTACGGTCACGAAGAGGAGCATCTCATTACGAACGGTTTAATTTTTTTTTCAACACATTTTGTTCAATACAATTTTCGAATTGATAGCCCGCAGTTTAATGAGTTCCTTTCAGTAGCAATGGATATTATCGAAAAGTGAAACCTCATTGTATACTTTTTCGCATGCCTCTCGACTCTTTGTGTGTTACAAAGTATGTTAAATTTTCGCTTTAAAACTAAACTGTGTGAATTTATCTTGTTTTTTTTACAAAGTACCCGCATTCCCATTCTTGATAGTCTTAAATATTTTCAGCATACAGAAATTACGTAATTCTTTATTGTTTCGGCAAATTCATTATAATAAAGGTATGTTAATATTTAAATATGAAAAAGCGGCAGAAATAAAATGTTCTGTGAGAAGATCATTTTTTAAAAATATGACTCAACCAATCTAAAAAAAACTAAAAAACAGGTTAGCTGGAATTATATTGTATTAATGGGTCTGGTACATTTAAAATAAACAGGTATATCTTATTGTTATAGTTACGTAAAACATATAAGGTACGAAATGAGACATGAAAAGTCTAAAAGCACCAGAGTATTTTGAATCCTAACCGTGGGTCTCTAAGGCTAAAAATATCCGGTTTAAAACATATTATTATCTGTCTTTTGTCAAAGATAAGGACCTGTACTTCATCCCTGGATGACGATATGTTTTATACAGAGATTTTGACCTCAGAAACAAACAGTAAAAGGCTTAACATATGTTGGACATAACATTAGTAATCCCCATTCATAACATAAAAGCCAAGGACATATCTATCTATAAAGACGTACAAAGATACTTGACATTTTGACACTCTATTCACTATGGTTATTATAGACAAATGGAGAGCAGGCGTTGTAGTAGATAATTTGATTCGCTTGACGTTTCCGATATGCTAAACAAACTCTTTCACATACAACCACCTATCCTAAGAAAATAATATTATCTCGTAAAACATCCTTCAAGAGAGAGATATGCTTCTTTTCTAGGCCAAAGTAGTCGGTGAATATTATCGTCTTTTTGTAAAATCAGCGATATATTTCCTTTACAAGACTTCAATCCCCAAACTAATGTTTTGCAGTCTGTGCTATACCTATTAAGCTATCGGGATTATTAAATTGTTGTATGAGTTTTATTCCAATCCATTTAAATTGAAAATTATTAATGATAATTTTAATGTATTAAAAAATTAGCTGTCGCCCGCGTTTCCGTTTACACAGAATTAAAAAAAATTGTAGTCTATGTGTTATTCCAGACTATGTTCTACATCTATACCTCTTAGCGAGATTCATGCCGTTATAGAGATATCTTTTAACAAACTTTCATCCACCCAATCAAAGATTAGCATTTATAATATTAGTAAGACTATTAACCTAATTTGCTGTTTATCCGCCTGATATTACGTAATACATAAGAACTAATAATAAAAGTAAATAATGTACTTGTGAAAGTTTCTTAATCTTGATTACAGAAAATATTAAAATTGTCTGTCCGTTGGTATTATTTGTGAATAACGGATCAGATAGAGAATAGATAAATTGTAGAACTGATAATGCGTAATCATAAATAACAATAAGAGATCCGAAGCTTTGTTATTCGAATAGAAATCATCGTCCGCTACCTAATTTTACTGTCAAGATAATAGTTATATAAACAAATCTGTCTGTGCGTCAGTATCTTTAAGTTTAAAAGCAATAAAAGAATTCGTTCAACAAATAGTCAAGTGAAAGTTGTTCAGACAAAGCTTGTCTGATGTCTTATAGTCTGTATAGATGTTTCAATCAATGCTGTTTCCATTGTTGTAGATCTACTTGTTAAAAATTAATCTTGAATTTCGTAACAATTGATGAAAAAGTTTCCATTTGCCTGAAATTTCTTCTCTAAATCTTTTATCACTTGAATAAACTGAATACTAAAAGTAATTTGTTTTTTCGCTTAGACGGATAGTGTAATAAATATTTTTTCACTTTCTACTCCATTGCGTTTTGTCTGCAAAGAATTTAATCTCCCCAAATAAGTATTGATTGACTTCGGTATAGGCTGCCTTCCACCCGGTATGCCTTCACGCCGCAATCATGTTTTGGTCGCATAACAATTAAACTTAGGTCACTTATTGTGGGATTGTGAGCCTTAAATCCCCGTTTAAAACATGTTATCTTCTATATATTTTATACAGAGATTTTGGTCTCAGAAACCAGGCAGAATGTTTTCATTCACTAGTTTCGGCAATCCACAATAGTAGATACAAAAATAAATGGTTCCACCAAGATAAAAAAAAATATTTATTAATATGCAAAAAAATGTATTATTCAATGACATGTGTGAGATCATGCTTGTAACCTAAATATTAACAATAAAAACTTTTCCGTATTAAAAACCTGTACAAGATCGTTCGGCCTTTGTTACTGGATGTGACCTTTGCATGTTATTGAACTGTAATCGAGTTAAGCTTTGCACACAATTAACCGTAAATTCAAATTAAATAATAAATCGATATTATCTATAAATTCCATTCATATGAGTTAAAAGATAAACTTAATTTCATAATAATAAATTCAATGGACTCAGAAGTAGAAAACAAAATCAGTTGGCCAACATATGCACAAAAACATATACCGATCTCTGTTTTTATAGTGCATGAGAGAGATAACAATATATGTTAAGGGTTTTTCGGCGGTTAATTCCATATTTAAAGTTTCAATATTGCCAGTACCATTGTTGTAAATTGCCTAACCTTGCTATATTGTGTATTGTACTATTAAATCCTATTGCAGATTTAATTTATTCAAAACAGTTTTGTTATTTTAATTTGTGCCATCGGTTGTTTATAGCCGGAAGTCCGTTTTTTGTTACCGATTAAATAGAAATTAAAATTAATTCTTACAGATTTCTTAATCGTTGTTACCGTTTCTATTTGTACCAATTCTTTGGTTGATAATGATATTATTTAAAACACGATTTGCTATAACTTGACGTAACATTAATGCGAATTCGATTTGAAATGGTGAAATGAGATCTTAAATAGAAAAACTGTAAATGGCGCTACATTTTCGGTTGCTGTATGTTGATTATAATTCATAAAGTACTAGCTGTCGATCTCGACAACGTCTGCGAGCAAATAAAAAATCTTAATAAGTAAACCTATTTGTTCTTCCAGACTATTTTCTACATCTGTTGAGCCCTTCCGGAAATACCTTCTAACAAACATGTATCTTACCGTGGGTTTTTGAGAATTTTCAGCCATATCGGTGAAACCGTTCTTGAGTTATAAATAGTGTAACTAACACGACTTTCTTTTGTATATATAAGAATTAAATAAGTATGAAAGTTATATGGAGACATTAAATGCTTAGTTCTGTACTAATTTCACTATATAATTGTTTTTGTTATAATAACTTGTTTATAATTACGGGCAGTTTAAGTGCGGACTCTCTCACGGAACTATTTGCTAAATTCCGTTCGGCCATTAGCTTCCGTTTGTAATGCGACGTTCCCAGCCATGGCTATTATCGTGTTCGAAGCAATTGTGGCCTAAAATGTACCTCCATTAACTGCGTTTGTCCATTACCATGCTAAATGCCGACTTTAGTGAACCGAATAACGGTTCGAATTGTTTGATGTAACGAACAGTGAATATTATAAGTAGAAATACTTTTTTTTTATAAATGACAAGTATATGGCTTTCAGGTTGTAAACTTATTTAGTAATTTCGCTTGGCATATTATAATATAAAGGCTAACAACACCAAGTTTGTATAGCTTGAATAAATTTAGCAATTAGTTCGTATAGTTAAATTAATTATTCACCTCGAATTAAGTTAAAACACATGGCTACTAAGATGCTACTAGTTTTTATACAAACATAACATTTTATAAAAAAATGTATCTTGTAATTGTTAGACACTCTCGCCTAATAGAGGCAACGGAACAATTTACTGTTAAAAGCTTGAGTTACTAATCCGAGCTCGCGTGTAAGCGATACTTTTTACGCATAAATATGATTGGGTGGGACGCATGAGTGATGAAAAAAAAATTGTTTTGCTTCTACATAATAAGCAGCAAATAAAAACTGTTTGATGAAATTGCAAATGTTTGAGGGTATGTTTTAATTTCAGGGAACGATATACGGTAGCAGCGCGGCAAGTTGACACAGAATCAACAGACGATCAGCCACCAGCCACAACACAAGGCACCATCCGCACCGAACAATACAAACGAGATTTAGCGGAGTTCCAAGCGAGGAGATCTCTAGGTAAAGAAGAGCCACAGAATATTACTCCAGTAAGACGGAAATGTGGAAGACATTCCCTGCCCGCCTCCTGCACAGACTGCACCGGAGGAGATCCAGACACGACATTTAATTACGAAAAGAATTCCGCAGCTAAATACAAAAAGAAGTCACGCAACGCTAGACGAGCTAGTCTAGACGATAAATTACCTAATATACAGTTCTTGTTCCAAAATCAGGTGTTCATGCCAGGCAATATGTATTCCGGTTCATTCTCCGAGTCAGCAAAAGCTCGCTATCAAAAGAGATCCCAAAGATCACCAGATATAGATTCAGTACAGAGACATATAGATTTCAAGGATGAAGAATTAAAATCGCCGTCTTTATTCCTTAAGAATGACTCTTTGCCGTGTGATGTGAAGAAGTTTATCGAAGGTTCCAAAAAAATTGACGATGTTGATGGAATGTCTTCTAGTCACAATTCCGTTAGGGAATTAAATAATGATAACAGCTGTGAAGAGAAAATGTGGGAGGTGATGAACGAGCTGAAGAACTTCGACCAGTGGGCTGACGATCAGCTGCAAGGGCAGTCAGCTAACACCACCAAGTCTGATGATACTAAAGTAAGATATTTTTTTCACAAATTATATCGGCCAGTTTTACTGACGGCCAAAATTTACAGAAATAAAAATACACATATAAATATAAATTTACGGTGGTAAAGCCAGCTTTTACATCTACGCACGAATCGGCCCGGCTCAATACCACGACCACACAGAAGACAGGCGTGAAGTGGAAGCAATTCCGCGTTTCGTCTGATGAGTGTGGTACCGGAACCTAATTTTAATCCTCTTTCACTTTCTACCCTTTTTCCTATAAGACAAGGATGGCAATTCCGTATGAGGGGATACATGGGAAGGGAAAATATTCTCTTTCTGTGCATATCTTCCTCCTATTGCGAATGTCTATGGGCAGAGGTCGCTTCGCTGTTTCAGAGATTTCGGGTGGCCGTTCGCTCGGTGAATGTAGATTAAGGTCATTTTTAATTATACAGTTACTTGACCGTGATTGGTTTATTCTAAAATAGTATTAATGAATATGTAGAAGTATCATGTTACACGAATGTTCTAACAGCGGTGTACACTTGACCTCCGCACATTGAAAAGTAAAAGCGTTACCAATATATACATAATATTATATACTGACACTTACATATGTATATCAATTACACATAACACAAAAATAATAATCTGATATATAGTATCACATATATAACAGATTGTCTTTTATTTTATCAAATAATTGTGCAGATGACGTAAATAGTATATTTATTTTACGTTAAATAAATTATGCTATGATTTTTTTTCCGTTCATTTTATGTTTTGCAAATTTATGATGCCAAACACTTTTCAATATACATCACGAATACTTACGGCAAAAAGTAACACAATAATTCACTTGTTACGTACCCACACACAAACAAATAAGATGTCAAACTACCTTAAAGATATATCAGCCATCATTAACATCGATAACATTTTTTTTTCTAAATTTTTTGCTATGAACATATGATACTATTTGCAGAGTGACGTAAGCGCTTATGGGCTGGCTGTGACAAGTTCTAGTAATATGAGTGTGACATTGGACAAAAGTAGGTCTTGGAACACTGGCAAGTGGGGTCTAGTACCCGTACAGATAAAGAAACTGCACGGAGTCACCATTGATCATGTTAAAAAGAAACAAAACACAGAGATAAATATACTGAGGTAAGTATTTTTAAGTAAGTCTTTGTGAAATGGATAGAATGTAACGGATTGATAGATGGATGAATGGATAGATGGATAGTTGTTTGTAGGTTTGTTTACTCTTTGTTGTGATTGTCTGTAGCTTGAACTGTTTGAATCGATTTTGAAATGTGATGGTTTTGAAAATCATATGATTTACATTACTCACCGTAGTGTTAAAGTTATGAAAATATTCCATTTTGTTAATAATGAAAAGTAACAAATAAGATTCAAAGTTCTCGGAAATTTTACCAAATTTAAATTTTTGTTTCTATGTTATCGTAAAATTTCTTTTCCATGTAGAAAATTTCGACACCCGAACATAATTCTGCTAATGGGGTTGTACACGGACATTCATAATAATGTCAACATAATCTGCGAGAGATGTATGGACTCGCTGTATGGAATACTACATGTACAGGTAATCTTTGTTAATACATATATCTAACTGTATAAGTATAGATTTTAAGGTTTGAGAAAGAAAACTGTTTCCGTTACAAATACTACGACACTACTCGTAATACTAAGGAAATGAATATTTACGACTAATCATATACAAAATTTAGTTTGATCGTACTTACCGTGGGTTTTTGAGCCCAAAATCTCCGTTTAAAACATATTCTTACCTCTGTGCTGTCAAAGATAATGACAGGGAGGACGATATGTTATACAAAGGTTTTGGTCTCGGAAACCTATGGTTAGTGATTTAAAGAATGTTTGTACTAAATATTTCTAGTTGTTTTATTGTATCGGATGTCCACATTAATATCATCTTTGTTATATGTAGATTATTTTGTTATGACGTAATGAAAACCATTTATTAGTTTTCAAGGCAATCTCTTTATGTATAGCTTTCTCTTTTTAAATGTATATTACTATTTTATTGATATTTGTCATGTGTAACACTTTCCAGGGTCGTATCTTAAGTGCCCAGACGTCAGTCCAGTACGCACTGGATATCGCGAACGCGCTACTTTTCCTACGTATGCAGGGCTACGTGCACTCGCGTCTGTCCAGTGCCAGCGTGCTCGTGACGTCACACGGCACAGCCAAGCTGGCCGACGTCGCTCCATGTCTACGACTCAGCAACAAGAAGAGAGAAATTAAAGAGTACGAGTTTACACCTGAGCCTCAATATGTTAATATACAAGGTTAGTGCAATAGATCTAGGCCAGGGGTAACGAACTTTTACGTAACAATGTCCCATTAAATAATTTTGTGATTATTGGAAATATTCCTTATCGCATCATATAAGACCCCCGCTCAGCTGTGCGTTGCAATTCAAATTTGCCAATCGGAGGTCAACAAATCGACGTGACGTCGACCACTCGTGATGCACATTTATGCTATTTTATGAATTATTTTTTTTTGTTTACGTCGAAAGTCTTTGCAATAACGAAAGCTAAAGTTATTTCGTTTTTAATTACAAATAGTATAGAAACTAAATAAAACAGTGTAATCCTACTTTTATTTCAGATACATCAGGTTCAGTGCCAGCGGATAGCGAGCTGTTACTACCTCAGACGGTATCCGAAGTGTACCTAACTTCTAACGCGGTAGCTCAGGAGTACTCTACCTACAGAGATAGCTCGCACTACCGCTGGTTAGCGCCGGAGCTATTCGAGCCGGACGCACTCGGGCAGGTCTACCCCTGCTCTAAAAGTGATGTATATTCACTATGTCTTATACTATGGGAGTGCTGTAATGGTAAGTAAAGATTTTACGTTTATTTTAAATTTATTTGTTTAAAAAAAGTAGTCTACGAAAAGACCATTTGCCTCAGTTACCTTCCCGTCAAAATCGGTCCATCCGTTCCGGACATTACCCGAATCAATCGCGGCCTTGCGGACAGACAGACAGACTAAAGTTTAAAAAAAAAAATTTCACCTCGCGTATACACAATAGTTAGCCACATATATTGATTATTGTATGGAAGGGCGCAAAGGCTTATTATTTTTTTATATTTCGCGGCCAAAGTTACGGGCAAAAGTTAAATAATTTAATAAAATGTTTCATTCCAGCGACAATCCCATGGAAGACATTGAAGTATGACAAACTGAAAGAGTTGTACCTGACATGGAAGACCGGCATCAGACTGCCGCAGGATGGCTCCTACCCGGGCGCGTTACTGGCTACCTTGCAGGATGGTCTGCAACTAGCACGAGACCAGAGGACAGACCTGCAGACCTTGCAGACCACGCTTCAAACACTAAAGGTACGTTAATATTAATTTCATCCTACAGACGGTTAACATTACGGACGACCTAGTAAATCTAAGTAAAGCGCCTGAGGAATTGTAATAGCAAAAATGTACGTCTTTTTACAGAAGTTTGCAGATACATTGCGGGCTCTTAACTACGTTTTCTCTTTAGAATACAATTTAAGGTACAGCGAGGCGTAGCGGGATGCGGGGGAGGGCACTACACAGTGCACTAATGACCTTGGAACGCAAAGATATTTGAAAAGAACTATACCATAATCGTCACTCAGCACTTTTCTTATGCTCATTGATGTCTAAACATGTATTAATTCGATTCTATTTTTTCTATTTCAGAGCGACCTTGATGACATGGAGTATATCATAATAGCGACGAGATTCCCTAAAACGATATCCAATTTTAGTAACCAGAGCTGGGACACCACCTCGCCAACTGACTCCGAAGGCACCAGCGCCAGGATACGGCACAAAGTGGTCGTACACAAGCAAAATACTTCTACAGATAGCGACAAAGACTCGCAAACACTCACAAGCCCATTATACGAAACATTAAGAAGAACACAAATAGAAACAATTAAACAACCAGAAAAATGTTTCATATCCGACGATGAGACAGTCACAGATAATCTCCAGCCGTTCCTCAAATTCCAACATCTACCAGATAATGACTTCTCGAGCGTCTGTTCGACTCCAGTTCAAACTAAAATACAACCTAGAATTAAAGAACTCGGTACACCTGTGTTACATAAAAGTGATTCTACTGAATATTGCAGTATTTTAAGTCCGGATACACGAGGTTTTAGTCTTACTTGCAGCGATACTAAAGACAAAAGTGAACGTTCCACTACGAAGTTAAGCCGCAGTTTCACTCCGCAATCTTACAAACCTTTACATATTAAAGTACCTGATTTCAAGTTGGATACACTTAAATCTATTGTCAAAGATAATGAACGTAATGAAAGGTCTTCGTATAATTTTGATATAAAGCATTACAGTCTGCCGGCCACACCGATAGCTAGGAGTAACAAATTAAGAAAGAATGCTTGGCTATCTGGTGATTTTAGTGGACAGGAGAAGAGTGCGGAGAAAGTCCGGGAGAGAACTTCAGTCAAAGAAGGTAAATTATTTTAAAGTTGTAAACAATTTAATTTTATCAGTGTGATACAACTTCTAACTAATATTATAAATGAGAATGTGTGGATGGATGGATGGATGGATGTTTGTTATAAGGTATCTCCAAAACAGCTGCATGGATCTCGCTGAAATTTGACATAGATGTAGAATATAGTCCGAAAGGACACATAGGCTATTAAATGAGCTTTCTTTAATCCTCCGTGGACAGAGTCGCGGACGGCAGCTAGTTAGAAATAAAATTATTTGCATTTATAAAAAAAACATATAAAATGTATTGAGAATTATATAACTCAAACAAGGATATCTGAACTGCTGATTGTGTGTGATTACCCTGAAGTGGTGATAAAATTTTGGATGTAATGTTTTCAGCGTATGAGAAAGAGACTCAAACATCTCCAATGGTGGGGCTGGGGTCAGGTAACGAGGCGGATGCGGAGAGCTCGTGCTCCAAGGCCGCCACCCCGCCGCGCTCCCCGCACGCACCGCATGCATCGCACGCATCGCACGCACTGCACGCACCGCGCTCGCCCGGCGCTGCCAGCGACAACACTGCTAGAGACAGCTACACAGGACTTAAACGGTAACATACTTTATTACTAATATTATAGATGCGAATGTTTGGATGTATGGATGGAAGGATATTTGTAAGAAGGTATCTCCAGAACGGCTGCATGAATCTTCCTGAAATTTGTCAAAGGTGTAAAACACAGCCTGGAAGAACACTTAGGCTACTAATTAAGTATTTATTTATTTCCGCGCAGGCGGAGTCACGGCTATAGCTAGTAGATGATATATTCCAAATTGTAAAAATTTTTGTCATTGTTTCCAGAATATTATAAAGATTTGTTTTTTTTTAAATAAACATATAACATTTCCAGCGTGGAGCCACCGCATGATTTCCTAATACCCGAGGACCCGGAGCCCCGGCCCCGGGCCAACTCATGGTCTCTCCGGTACCGAGACACCTTCAGCTCGAAGGGCAAGGCGGAGGAGCTGGCCAATGTGAACGTGAAGCCGCTGGTCGCGATACACGAGCGCTGGATACATGAGGCTAATAGGAAGACCACGCGCTCTCTGTCATTGCCCGAAGATAATAAGTAAGAATAGAAATATATACACACACACATTTTACTATGATATTATATTTAGGCAATTGTAAAACCTATCGGCCATATATTTGCATTAAAAAAATATATCTGTTCAATAAAATAAAAGTTATTTTAAATCAAAATTGTTGTTGCGGCATGACTCAAAGTTGTCTTATCTTTTTATCGCGATACCGCACAGATGTTTTCTAAAAGGAAAATAATAGAAAAATCGCATTATAAATATCTTAGCAGCTCAAGGACATGTGCTCGCTGCGCAGTGCCTTCCCCCCGCATCATACGGGACTACTACTCCCCAACACACATGACATCGTGTTCGGTGCAGTCACTCTCAAGTATTAGAGCCGCCAAGATATTTGAAAACAAATTGGCGACATAAAAAACGCTTGTTTATAGGAGTGAGGTGCGCGCGGTAAAGCCGGCATCCCACTGTGTAGCGATGACGTCATCAGTGTCCGCGTTACCCGGCCCCGGTGTCAGACAAGTGCGTACCAACTACCGCCTGCCGCCGCCACCAAACAAGAACGGTCAGTGAATATACAGACTCCTGCAATCAAACCTTATAATTCCTTAAGAGATTTAATTATTTTCGAACAGCCTGTAACAATAATAAATAAAGGGTGTTTCAATTTAGGCTAATCGGCTTACTGATCAATCGGCCGTATGGGATTTTTTTTCATTGGGCCTATTGATCCGATAAGCCATAGAATCAATTGGAGAAATGGTATTTTTCTACGTACTCAATCGATCCAATAGAAAATGTATTATTCCTTGGGCCGATTGGCCAGGCATACCTATCAATCAGGCCGATGGGAATTTTTCTTTGATTCTATAGATTCAATCGGCCCAATAGGAAAAATTCTCAACATGAAAGACCCAAATGAAAACCTGATTAAAAAAAAATGTCACAATACCAAAAGCCATGTACCTATTTCGTATTCTCATCAGAAATGTTGCTTTTTTGTTGTAATTGCTAGGATAACTGGCACATTAAGACTTACCGTCGGTTTCTGACACCAAAATCTCTGAATAAAATATATAATAGTCATTATCTTTGACAAAACAGAGATAACAATAAATTTAAAACGGAGATTTTAGTCTCGGTAACCCACAATTAGTCACACCTAAGCTTGGTTTGGAATAAGGAATACCTTATCAAGAATAATAAGACGCGGCCTTAATACTCAAGGCCAGAATTTTTTTTATTCTTGGTCAGGTTGTAGACTATGCACCGTTTTTCTTGTTTTTTTTTACTGCAAACGGAAATTGTCATGGCATTGTTCTTTAAATCCAGTAATTTGTCATCTGCATGTTTTTATATTTGTTTGTGTGCATTTAGTGTGCTTGTAATTATTAAGTTTAACTTAAAGGAGTATTTGGTTATAATTTTATATTCTTACTAGCTGTCGCCCGCGACTCCGTCCGAGCGGAATAAAAAATCTTAATTAGTAACCTATGTGTTCTTTCAGACTTGTTCTACATCTATGCTAAATTTCAAAGAGATGTATGTAGCTGTTCTGGAGATATCTTCAAACAAACAAACATCCAAACCTTCGCATTTTTAATATTAGTAAGATGTGCTCTTATAAAAATGTAACCATATATTTTGCAATATTTCTAATACACGAACATTTGTTTTTTTTTATTTCACATTTAAATTTTATTAGTTATGGTATTTATTTTAAGTTAAACGAAAGTTAATTTTTTTCTTATTTCTATCTTATAAGGAACAACTGATATCTTTGTATAATTGAATAATAATTTTGCTTTGCTTTGTTCACACAATTTTATATTAATATTAACATTGTAACCGTGGGTTTCCACATTCCACTTACACTGATTTAACACTGGTTTTTAATTAGAATGATTAAGATATGTTTTAGCACATGTTTCGACAGTGGAAACCCACGGTATTGTAATGCTTGTGTGCACATTATTAGCTGTAATAAATTTTGTTTTGCATGAATGCGTTTAATTTACTAACATATAGATTCGTACTGTTTTTTTTTTTAATATATTAATATGAAGGTTGTGGTATGTAATTTATGGGATGGTTTTCGAAGGTAATTCAAAACTAAATTAATAAGAGATTGGTTGCAATTTGATTTATTTTCTATATTTTTATTTTATTAATAATTTCTTTCGCTTTATAAATTTTGTAATAATGTTTCAGCTGTACTCAGGGTATTTTGTATTTAAATTATTGTTCAATTTCGAAAAAAAATCTGTTATTTTTGTATAAAACATTGCAAAATGGAAAATTGGTGATATAACAAGAAATTTTATTTATTAGAAAAATTTAATGGTATACAGAGGAAATGATAACCTAAAATTTTAAAGTTAAAAAAATTTGTAAACAATTTCAGGTCATCCATGGGATCAGTGCTACCATACACGAGACGCGATGTCAAAAAGCGTTAATTTCGCTTTTGATACTGACAGTTGTCATACATGGAAGAAAGACAGCAGTAGAGGGTGACCATGCTATTTACGATTTATGCCTCCGCTTATTTGACACTATAAAAATAAACCTAGCAGTGAGTTTCCACTGCCTTTATACAAAAACATATAACTGTATTTTTCTCAGAGATAATAAGAAGGGTAACAATGTTATATACATGTTTTCGGCAGTGGAAACTTACTCTCTTACATTTATAATTTTTCTCAGTATTACAGTCAAATAAAATAGCTTTTGCATGATTTTTTTTTTATATAACTTAATCAAATAATTTTGTAAATAGGTCTTCAAGTTCGTTTGACGTAAAAGAATCGAAAGTAGACCAGTCTACTAGTACTCGAAGTATTGAAGAATTTATACGAGAACTTATTAGAAAAGAGTTCCAAAATCATGAATTCGACGATACATCTGCAAGAAACGAGGAAATGATAAACAAAGGTGTAACGAATGTTCTAGAAGGTTTGAAATCTGACGAATCAGACAAAAAGGAAACTGTCAAATCATTTTCCAGAGTTAAAATTAACGGTAACAATAAACCATTACTTCAAATAACTTTTAGTAGATCCGGAGAGAATAGTCTACAAGTTTTGGATAACTGCGTGAATGTTACTATATGTGATACTAACTCTGGCAAAGACAAACTGCAGGATGAAGAGATTCCTCTTGAAGATTTACAAGTCAATTCATTGAAACGATGTCAAGCTTTCAATGCTATTCAGGTATTTAGAAACTATATATATTAAAATTGTATTTTCTGTATGATATATCGAAGTATATTAATTTATGCAGATATTAACGAAAAACCAATTTTGTATTATTTTTGTTTGTGTGTTTGTCGGCAAACTATGGTTTGTTCCGGGTAATCTCTGAAATACCAGGACCGATTTTGACCGAACTTTTACTAGAAGGTAGCCGATAAGTGTGGGCTATTTTTTTTTTTAATTTTGCACTGACTAATTTGAGGATTTTTAGTTTTAACGTAATATGGATCCAATATGGATCGTACAAGTGGGTAAACAAAAAATAAAAGTGTTAAAGAACTTTTTCTTTTAAAGAAATTATGTCATGGATTAAGTTAATATATTTTTTATTTAAATATATAATATGTTGTTCTGTGTTATTTAATTCACAGGAAGCTCGCAGTACCGAGGACTTGTACATTGACGACGATCTATCAACACAAATGCAAGAGAACTTTGGCGGGAAAGTGAAACTGATTCCCCTGCACGGCTCTCTGCATGAAATACTTTGCGAGAAAGAGGACGATTGCTGTCTTATTAAAGTGAAGCAAGAAAACGGCTGTGATACAATATATTTCAGATGTGATAACTCTGATACTGAATCTAGAGATGCTATCGACGGCTTAAGAGAAAACGGACCACAAGACACCGTTGTCTTCAAACGAAGTATCTCTCTGATAGAGGAACGCATACAACGCGTTATATCAAAAGATAAACGACCAATAACAATAAGAAAACGTATAGAAAACAAAGCACGACCAAAATCGGATTTCTTTCCCAAAATTACTAAAGAAACTCGTGTTTTAAGTAATAGCAGTCCCTCGCTTATTATGAAAGATAGGAAAAATGATGAAGTCGAAGTGAATATTGAAAATGTCATGTGCTATCAGGATTCCTCGTCTGATGAATGTTTGAAATATTCTGAAAATGACGACTTTGAAATATTAGAAAGGGAAATTGAAGAAGATATTGCTAATAGTAATCTGACTTCTTTGAATAGTAAATGTTTGGAGAAAATATCTGAGGAAAATTTGTCTGTTATAAATGATTGAGTAACAGATGACGGGATATTAGTTGTTAGGAACGAGTGCTATTTTCGGTGATTAAATCCAAATATTAAAACTTAACACTTTTTTCTACGTACTTTTAAGACAGTCGCTTGAATAATTAAGCTGATTGTGTGAATTGACCAATATGAACAAAATAACACGGTTTGAAACCTAAATAAATTTTCTTTTGGATTTGAAAGTATTTTGCGGCCAAATCATATAAATCAAAAAGTTAAAGGGCTTATATAAAAATATTTTTATATATACTTAACTGATTAGCCATAATTTCTAATATGATTCCGTCCAAACGGCTCGCATTTAGAGAATCCAAAGATCTTAAATATTTTGATAGAATTTTGTTGTTTAAATAACTCGATATAATCCAAGTCGGTAGCGTCTTACAAAAGTTCGTGCGGCGTCTACGCGTAAGCGACGAGTGTACGCCGCGATGTCGACGAGTAACCGTTGATTTCTAAGATCAAAAGCTCTGTATAAAACATATCGTCATGTTTGACAAAACAGAGAAAATAATATTTAAACGGAGATTATGGTCTCAGAAACCTATGGTTAGAGAAATAAAGTATCAAAAATGACACGTCTCAAACGCGTGGATGTCGGGGTTATGACGCGTTGCTGGGAGACGCTATGATCATAATTAATGTCGTAAGATTTGTCTAAATTAAGTTACTTTAATATAAGTTAAAGATCAAGGCTATGTGATTTTTAAAGTAAGTAACACGTTACGTTCCACTGTTGTGATGTAGATTAGCTTTTTAAATAAGATTTTTATATTAATATCTTTTCGCACAATATTATTTAACTTATATTTTGGTGTTTTTATAATCTTTAGGCTTTACTTAATCCTTTTTTTTTTGTTGAAACAAAATAATCATTTTGGTTCAAAAATACCAAAAAATTAATTAATTTTTAATCAGCACTAAGTTTATAGAGAATTCTTTTTTTACTTTTTTTATAGTTTTTGCATGAACCAAAGTAATTTGTTGCATAACATACAAAATAAAGGTTTTTTTGTTACATTATTTTATAAAATCTTTAAAATGGCGTGGTCATGGATCTTATGCACGCTGGTACGTCGGGTCAAACTTAACATTCCAAATTATACGTCGAGTTATTTGATTGTAAAAATATCTGTTGTTGATAAATAAAAATTCTAAAATTATGTGTAATTTTGTATTTACCTAAACTGCAATATTTTTCATTTTGAAACCCACAGATCTCTTATTTTTTTTTTCAAGTTGAGAAATGTGAGGCACATTTCAGTATTTATTGCTAGGTCTTATTTTGAATTGGACTATGACATTTAAAT